TTTAATAAATCAAAAAATAGTATTGTAAAGCCCAAATATTGAATATTTTGACAGTTGATTAAAATAATCTTGTATTAGTTTTCCTCTACTAGTATTTTCGTGAAATTTAATTAATCATTATCATGAATGTACTTTTTTTTTAAAAAATAAGTCCACCATGCGTGAACTTGTTTTTGAGTTAGGTTTGGATTTTCCTGTTCTAATTGTTTGAAAATATTCGCAGGCATTAGATGAATATGTTTTTTTATTTCAGCTTTAATGTTGTCAGATGTATTAAATCTTTCTGGATGCTTATGAAGTAAGTTATGCTTAAGATCAATTGTTGCTACATTTATTTCTATATCAAGTTATATTTTTAAAATACTATTACAAGCAAATTGTTCGATGTATTCCCTATCACAATGCTTATCAAATTCTTTATGTTTTCTTGGACATTTAGCTAAAATACAACTTTGGGAGCAGTTATACCAAAATGTATAGTGGTTATAATTTTTTTTTGATTTATAAACCTTATGATAACTATATATAATAATATTATTAATAAATAGTTTTATATAATTCTTAATATATTATCATTACAATACTTACATGTAATAGTATCCATTAGAGATCCTACTATTTTGGCAATTGCTTTTTCAAGTTCATGAGGTTCACTTTTTAAGGAAATAGTAGACACTTTACATGAAAACTCTATACCAGAATTTTCATTTTCAATAAATTCATTATTTCCAACTTCAAGAATAGACTTAAATAAATTTTTTTTCATTTCTTCAGGTTCGATAAGGTTTTGATCATGAAGTAAACTTCGTAGCATGATAAGTTTGTAAAATTTTTTTTTGACATTCACTACATATTTTTGTGGATTTTCCCGTCTTACTAATGAAAAAAGTTATATCGAAACGTTTACTACACCGATCACACTTGTATAAGCTATTAGAAAACATTGTATTTGTAAGAAAAGTTTTTTTTTTGCTTTAACAATATTTTATTAAAAGTAATTTAAATGTAACACAAAGTTAAATGTTTTTTAGTATATAATTATTACACAATAGTAAAAAGCTTAAATATCGTGACTGATCAGGTGAAATTCTATTGGCCTGAATATAGTACAAATCTTGTGTAACCAAAAATTTTTGGTGGTGCTGTTGGGGTAGTTCATAAAATGCCTGCAGACACATGATTTTAAACCAATCATGACACAGAATCAGGTATAACGTAAAAAACAAAACAAACTGCTGGCTTTTTTAAAAACTCACCTATAACTCAAAATTTCGACAACAAAACTACTTTCTGCGTCTTAGCAAAAAAAATTTCTTGCAAAATTTTGCTATATACTCCACCTTTTCTACTATTATCCTAATGCTCACCCTTATCCTAATGTCAAAAGCTAATTTTTTTGATTAAAAAACGTGTTAACGATTTGTGGTTTGTTTTGGCCAATGAAATTTTAGCGTACATCATCACAAGACTGTGAAATTTTTATGCGGTTGCTATGTATAATAAAGCGAAGTACTTTAAGGTATGAATGACCCAATATTTAAGTTTTGGTTTACATGGAAGATTATATTCTTAGCATTTGTTATAACGATTTGTATCTATTAAGCATCGTTTTTTTCATTAGACTAATATATATTTCTAGTATTTATTCGAAAGATTCACAGGCAAGAAAAATAAATGTCGGTGTTCCATTTTATAAAATTAAAAAAAGAAAACTTTTTATTTTATTATTATTTTTTACTTTTAGGTACATCTGCTTTATTTTAATTAATTAAAAGCTAATTAATACATAATAAGTCGCATAATAAATCTGATAGTTGCATCAATAATTGGTGAGGTCACATAAATTCCAAATAGTCGGAATCAACAAATGATACTTTAAGATATCCACAAATATTCATTAAATAGCTGATTATTAGGAATGGAAAAAATGATTTTAAATGATTTTTATGATTTTTAATATGATTTAATACATTGTTTTAAAACATCAGTGATTATGGAACTGATGGTTGGAGCTAGAATTACTATATCGGGATTTGTTAATTTTTGACTTCAGCGTTACTGATATTTTTGTTTTTCAAAATATATATATGAATATCTTCTTCCGATTTATATTTTTTGATATTAGTTAGTAAAAATTGATATATTCAAAAAATTAAATTATAAATTAGTTAGTTATAGCCAATAATGCAATCGCTTTATTTTGTTTTA